GGGTGTTGATAATAATAATAATAATAATAATGCACACACCTTAAAAATTTCATTTTATCACATCAATAAAACGACTGATACAAACATGAATAAAACAGTACCAATTTAACTCCTGATAGACTATAGTCGTTTATTCCTCACTTTATAAGTTACTAAAAATTCCTTGCTTCTTCTTCTGTCAGGACAAATGCTCAATTATTATCAAATACAGAAAATTATTATTATTAATAATAATTATTAATAATAACAGCAATAACAACAACATTAATATTAATATTAATAACAACAATAATAATAACAATAATAATAACAATTAAATAATAATAACAATAATAATAATAATAATAATAATAATAATTGTCGAGAACTAGAATAGAAAAAAAAAACTCCTACTGTATAGTACTTCTAAAACTTCATAATGTAGAAAGTGGCCACAAATTATGTATCTAATACTAATATACATTTATATATTTCCTGTAAAATTTGATAATTGAGCATTTGTCCTGACAGTAGAAGCAAGGAATTTCTGTTAACTTATAAAGTGAGGAATAAATGAATAGTTTATCAGGTGTTAAATTGGTACTGTGTTATTCATGTTTTGTATCTGCGGTTTTATTGACGTGATAAAATGCAATTTGTAAGGTGTGTGCGTTCTTAGTCCCAAGCGTGATGTTACTTAATTATGATGGAATGTCGTCCTTGCTTGGTTCATCTGTCTATTGATCAGAGTTATGAATTATGCGTACCAAGTACACATAAAGTATTTGGATTGGATTTGATTTATTCGGTGTAAACACCAAGGATAGCCCACGAAAGCCTAGAAGAAGACTTATTTCCAGTGGGGTCCTTCTGGTGGTGATTGGGCAGTACACCGGGAGACAATCCTTTACTCTTTTCCGAAGAGCGCTGCGTTCTTTAACATGAACATGGGCCATAAATGCACATGGGACCAACGGCTTAAACATCTCATCAGAAAGACGGTGCACTATTGTAATTTGTATTTCCTCCCTCCAGCTGAAACACAAGGAGAGGCAGCGATGGGAATTGAACCGGGGACCTAGAGATTTCCACTGTTCAGCGCAGACACAGTGGCTACCACCAGATTAGCTAAGCTGCTCTCAACTTGAAAAGGGACTCATTTATTTGTTTTATTCTTCGTTTGTCCAGATTTTTCTGCCATCTCTTTCGCCTACCTTCCATGTGGTCTTATGAGGTTCTTTTCAAGTTGAAGGTTGACTCATGGTCTGCCATCTCTGAGAAGTGCCCAGTTGGGCCCAGATTTGTCAGAATTTTTTTTTAATGTGGAGGGGGTGGGTAAAGCAAGGAAATTATATTTAAATGTCAGTCTAAAGAGTGCCATTACCAACCATCTAGAAGAGGGGTCTTAGTCATAACATTTTGTGGGTCCCTCAACCCATAAATGTCCATCCTTAGGGCCCTTCCATTTCAAAATTCTATATCTACTCCAACTCCATATGTCATTTTGCAATGCATTTTTTTCTCAAGGAGGAGGCCTAAAAATAAGCACAGGCAATTTTAATTTAAGCTTATATTAGATATTAAATTAGTAATTATCCAAGGACTACAGTATATTCTCATTAGTTACTATTTACCAACCAGAATGCTTGGGAAATGTGGTTGATTAAAAAATCCTTTGTTTTTATTATTTTTATTTAAGGATGGGATAATGATTAAAGGGGGAACCTACAGTAAAATAGGCCTATTTAAAATTTTCACTGTGCTTGGGCCTATAGTTAAGTTAGCAATTACTGTAGTACAATACATTGGTAACACCTGAAATTGAATGTTGTCTAGAAATTTTAGTAATAGCCATTTACTAATAATATAGATTGGTAGGGGAATATTTTAACATTTGTTTTCTGCTACAATTCTTGTATTTCTATTTTTATTAGTATTTTTATTTATAATATCATAATTTTAACAATGATTTTGATGGTGTTTTTTTACATTTTTATGTATTTTTAATGATAGTTTTAAGCTAATTTACAGTATGTTCTTTTTCATCAGAGAGCCACTAGACAGTGATTTAGTTTACTTTTTAGCAATCCTGACTTGATAATTAAATGTTTCTTCCTCTCTCTGTTTTTTGTGTGTCAGTTTTATTCTTAAATAAATGAAATGAAAAAAAAAATGTATCCGAATGCTAATTGGAAGGTCTTGGGTTCGAGCACTGATGTGGACATGTTTTTTTCAAAAGTATCATCTTTAATTATTACTGTACTATTAAGGTGTATCTTCAGACCAACGTTGCTATCAATGGAGAAAAATGATAGTGAAAAGTGAAAATCGTATTATACTATTATCACTAAAGTTACAGGTTATCAAAGGCCATTTGATGAATAATGAAGCAATGGCGCTACACTTGTGTGATGATCCAACTATTATTGTGTGAATTGAAACTGGGGTTCAGGATTCCCATTGTACTGCTTACAAAGCTAATGACCATAGGGAACCGGTGATGCATAAATACTGCACAATTATATTGAGCCTTTTATAGTGTCCTGATTGGAGACAACAATGCACACTCTCGATGACCTAAGCTGCAAAGTATGGTAAACTAGGCTAGATATCGTGAACAACAAGATATAAAACACTAAATTATTCTAAAGAGTCTTATACTGTAGGCCTACCTCCTTTTCATAAATCCTAATGCCAATGGGGAGAAATGGACAAGGTACCTATAGCAGGAAGCTAAAATCTTGGAAAATCTGGATTACTATAGTACAAGAATCAAGTTATTAATTCTAACATTAAGACTAACATTAAGTTAAATAATTTCCCTTTTCACAGAGTTTTTATATTCTTATCAGCTAGACTGATAATAAACAGTATTATTTGTGTCTGTTGAATTCTTAAGAAATATTTATTACCTCATTTAGGTTGAATAATCAAACTGCTCAGAGGCTTCACAATGTAACAGCCTTATTGGCACTGGCCCTAGGCCCTTACTCTTGGTTCATTTGGTAGAACCAATTGTTCTCAGATAAGGACTCTCGGATACCAGGGGCCCAGTTTACAATAATGGTATACCGTACAGTATGTGGCTCAAGGTGCATCTTTGAGAACTGTGAAAAGTTACCCCAGTACCCTTGTTCTGTCCTTGTCACTGTAGACAGATGTGGCAAACTACTGTAAGCATGATCTCTCGGGTGGCTATGATACTCGCTAACTACAGTACAGCTGTACTGTGTACTCTATTTTATGTGACGTATTTTGAAACAGCGCCAATAACGTCTGAAGACTCGCAACTTTTCAGTGGGGGACATCTAGCAGAGCAGTAGTAACAAAACAACCAAAAAACACTGTATGTTTTAATGTCCCCTATTTTCTTTTTTTTGTTTAGGTGTGGGGGAGGGGGTTTCGGCATGTAGTTTTCAAAGGCTAGACTACAACAAGAAAAAGAGCTGTGCATTGACCACAGATAGACATAGTAACTAAGCGAAATGCCTCTGGATGTCCCTCAGTGGTAGTTGCCAGGTTCTCGGAAATT